AACAAGGTCGAACCAACAAAATTATGCATATGAAAGTGTAATCTCCCATATTAAGGCAATTTTTAAATAAAATTTACCGAATACAAGATCAAACATATGTCAATTGATTTCTGAAGTATATTTCGCAGGACTTATGTTTCGTTCCCACGATCTCTGCAGCAAGATAGATAAAGGAATGGTACCAAAAGATTTTTAGACGTAGATCGACAATCACAGCTCCATGGGAAACTTTTATTTTGCCGCGAAGAAAATAAGAATGTATTTCACTCAGAATGTGACAAAAAATTGAGGTTTCAATGAGAAAAAACAATTTCTACGTATTATGCTTGGCGGTAAAATGGGAATTTATAGCCCTTTAAATTTACCAAATAAAATATAGAGCATGCATTATTGCATATTATAAACTTCCAAAAAACATAGCTTTACTAATAGCAGACTTCAAATTAAAAATTTAATAGGAAATAATTTGTACGATACGAACCTTATTGATTGGGCTAGCTTCAAAGATAGATTGCATCTGCGACCGGCTACAATCGAAGCTTGGGATGATCGTGAAACTAAACTATTCGGGAGTAATCAAAAACGAATATAGGAACAATTTAATGCAATACAGCAATAAACTCACCATACTCTCTGGATCATTTTCACCGGGTAATCTTTCTATTTCTTCACGAAAATATTTTTCCAACCAGTCCCGACGAATGCTGAACTAAATTTGATTTTTAAAAGATAACTATAAAATTATTGTACTAATATATATGAATTTGAGCAAAAGCCATGATAGAAAGGGAAAATGTCTGCATAAATACCGGTTCATCCTTGAATGAAGAACTGCGAAATTCAATAATATCAAGAACATGAAGAGTGATCAGAGAAAATTCTCGGTTTTTATCAGCTTCGATTGTTTTCGTTGTAATCATTTGTCGGGGAGACTGCGAAATGGAGGGCAAATTGCTAAGAAGCACACAGTCAAGAACGCATTTCTGATATCGCTTCCTGCTACCTTCACAACTGGGAGATCCGCCAGGCATATGTGAATAACCTTGAAGAAGAAGGGATCCAGAGCGTGAATAAAGGCGACTGATGCCCTAAAATTGACAGGTGTAGTGCGCGTCATAATCAAGATATAAGTAAACAATCAAGTTACTCTCCAATTATAATATAAGAAATGTATATTTAATGATAACTAAAAACAAAATATACAGGTTAACTTTTTAATTAAATTCCAGCTTAAATACAAAAATGAATTTGATACCTTAAAAAAGGTAACGGATAATAGTAAATTACTTATCAATAGGTTAAAACATATGAATAAAACGAAATAAGCCTCACTAGATATAGGGCTACATTGGCTAAGAGCCCTGGTAAGGGGAAACATTAAAAAATTAAATGAAGCATAACTAAGGATAATTTAAATTAAAGAGATAAGATTACGTTTTTAAAATTTGCACGAATAATGGTTAGCACTAACATTTGAAGCTGCGAATATAACGTGACGACCAATGGGATAGAATTTAAAAAAGTAATCTGACTCAAAGTGAGCTGGTTTGAAGAGAAACCATTCAGCTAACATCATTCCACTACCCTGAAACTTCCATGAGTATTTCGTATCATCAGAAGCGCTGTACCAGGGATTAATAGAAATGTCCTCATCTGGTGGCTTATGTCTATTTTGCATAAATTTTGATTCGCGGTTATTACGACTTCGGACTTCAGCTAATCTTTCACGCCATCTCCTTTCTTGGTCTATTGCACGACCTTTATTTTTAAATAAAGTTATTCGGGGAAAATTTTCAGATTCCTTTACCTCAAGCCCGGAATCTAGGGTAAAAGATCTAAACGAGTTAATAACATCGTTTTCCATGAAGCTTTAAAA